TAATATAATGTGATTGCACATTTTATTAATCAATGTTTAATCCGTTGCATGTTATAAACTGTAAAAAAAAAAGAAGCTAGTATTGTGTCTCTTCTTACGGTTTTTTTCAATTGCTAAGACAGGGTAGTATCTAGGGTAGTATCTCTTCACATGCCTGATCCATCCTTGGCATTGTTCTGGAGAAATATCTTGGCATCCATCATTTATTGTGTCAATTGTTTGGTCTTGTGTCAAATTTGTTTATATTATGTGGTTTTTACAATCTATTTTAGAAAGGGTCTTGATAGTAATTTAGCAAATTGACATATTTCAGTTTTGACTGTCTTATTAGTAGTTTTAGGGTCAGTATGTGGGGGTGTGCAAAATGGTTGTGAGTGAGACAGGAATCCATGACTTTTGAAGTGTTTAGTCATTGATTGCATTTTGTATGAAAGCAAAGCGAAATGCTTAACAGCAATAACTTCAATATTGCAGTATCTGTCTCAGCAATTGAAAAAAACTGTAAACTTCACTCTGCCTTTCCAGACTGATTGGTGTGAAGGGCAGTGACAGACATTCCAGACTGATGGGCCATTGACAGAATGCAAAGGTGTGGTGACTCCAAAATCACTTCAAAGTTGTAATGTTTTAGTAATCAAACCTCATACAATTTTTTGAATGTCTCATTCAGCTTTATGTAGCCAACCCCTATGTCTATAAGCTTCAGAGCTCAAAAGTCTTGGCAAGAAATGTTTATAATGTAATTTTTTTACAATTCGTCAGAACCACTGAACATAGCTTTTTGAAAAGTGTATGTTTAAAGTAGATTTTAACAATATAAATAGAATAATCACATTCTAAATTCTCAGATTATTGGTGCTGAATACAAGCATTTGTAGTAATTTGTTTTTTAGATGGGGGGGGGTGAGGGCACTCACAATGACGTGTGAATGTGAATAACTTCTCTGCTTGGCCACGATGAAAAGAGATATGTTTGCAGGGGTCAAGGTGAGGTTGCTTTCTTAACCTAAGAACACTGAACCAACGGTCAAGCATGGTGGTGGTAGTATCATGCTGTTTTGCTGACAGTACTGTACATCAGTACATTGCACAAAAAGGATGGAATAATGAAGCAGCACTAGATAGATAGACTGGAACTTGTGAGGGCACTCACAATGACGTGTGAATGTGTCATTACCTTCTCTGCTTGGCCACAATGAGAAGAGATATGTTTGCAGGGGTCAAGGTGAGGTTGTTCTCTTAACCCTTTGGAGTCTGCACTGCGCACTGTACACTGCGCACTGTACACTGCGCAGCCATCAGCAGCCTTTCAGACTGTTAGCAGACAGAAAGAACACAAGAACACTGTTTTATTCAGGCACAGTACAGAACCATATGTTTTCTTCCACTCTGTCCACCTTTATTCTCCACAATCAACCTTATTACTTTGTTTAGGCCTGTAATTAGTCTGTTACACACATCTTGGGTCACTCTCTTCTCCCAAAATAACTATTGGACACGCTGCTGCTTTGTACCTGGCTTGGCCTCCTTGCAGATGAAGTCTTTCATCATGTGCAAAACAAGCTCAATGGGCTTCAAATCTGTTTAATTTCCATATACCACACTGTCCCTCTTTGCTCGACAGTATCAGTCTTATTACTTTGTTTAGGTCTGTAATTATTGTATTGCACACATCTTAGGTCTGCCTCATCTCCAAAAGGGGAAGTAAAATACAAAATTCTAATTTCATCAATAACTGACTAAAAACACATTTTGCTAGTTTTAGGCCATCTTTGCCTCACAACAGAAACAATTTCTTAAATTTTACAGGCCATTTATTGCAGTGTAGTCAGTTTATTAGTGAAACTGGAATTTTGTCTAAATATAAGAAAATTATACTTGTTTAGATTTTTTTAGAGTTACAATACCTGATTTCAGGTAACTCACTTCAGCTTTCACAATCACTGCTCTCCCTGGTGGATGGATAAATCATTGCAAATACTTCACACACAGAGAGTTAAGGGGCGGATCATGCCGGCCCCCATGTTCATTACATCATCGTTGGGGATCTCATTACAGTCAAGGTCCCACCCAGGACCCAGCCAAGGACCAGCCAAATCCCCATCATGAAAACGGGGGAAAATTCAAGTGGCTACATCTGTATGTGACAATGTGACATAGCAGGGGGCAGCTAATTCAGCGCCCAGGGAGCAGTGCTTGGAGGTGGTACCTTGCTCAGGGTACCTCAGTGGTGCCTTGCTGGTCAGGGATTCGGATCTACAAATGCGTGTTCCTAACCATTAAGCCACCACTGCCTTCATGCCTTGCAGGTCGCTTCCAGACCGACCACTGCCTCCCTGATCACCGCCAGGCTGACTCTCGTTTCCCTTGTTGCCACCAGGCTGACTTCCGACTCCCCAGTTGCCACCTGGCAGAGTTGAATTGATCCAGAGGATGCACCACCAGAGGACTTAGGGCAAGGCCCAGAGGGACCCACCCCCGACCTGGTCGTATGTGCCGGTGAGGTCAGCAGTGTCAGCTGGGGCCCAAGAGAGGGGCTGACTGAGTCTCTGTCCCCCATGCCAGCTAACCACACTCCCATTTGCTCAACACTGTCTGCTCGGGGCACTCCTGCTCCAACTCTGGGGCTGGCTGAGTCTCTGTCCCCCATGCCAGATAACCACCCTCCCATTCTCTCAACACTGTCTGCTCGGGGCACTCCTGCTCCAACTCTGCAGTTTCCTTTGATCCATCCTGCTCTGGCTCTACTGGCCCTCTGAGACCCTTAGATCCTGTAGTCCTGACGTGGCTCTTGCCAGTGATCAGGCCCAGGAAGATCTGTGTCCCAGGTTCGCTGCCCAGCTCCTGGAAGACTCCCCAGCCATTCTCCACTTACCCCAATCATACCTTGGTCCCTGTTCCGTTACCCTGTCCTGCTTTTGTTTTGCCTGGGCCTGTGTCCCTTATCGCTCCCTCCAGTGTTTCCATCTCTGTCTCCATTGTCCATCTACCTGTCTGCCCTCTCCTGGAGTGTGTTGTTTTGGTTGTCCCTCATGCCCTTCTGGTTCCTGGTCCTACCCCTGCCTGTGCCACACCCCTAATCATGCTGTGTCCCCTGTCCTGTGGTTGTGCTCCTCATGTTTTACCCAGTGTCTGTTTTGTCCTGTGTTCCCAGTCTGGATCTGGTCTTGTTTTTCATGTTATCTTGGTGGTTTGGTCTCCAGCCCTTCTGTCCAGTTCCGGGTCCTGTCTGGTGTCTGTCCCATGTACCCCATCAGTCCGGTCATGCCCTGCCCTGTCTTTGGTACCATCTGTCCCGTCCCAGTCGTGATGATGTCTTGCATGCCCGAAGTGCGGCTTTGGAATTTTAACATTTTTCTAAAAGAGTGAAAATCCACCCTGATTGGATATTACAGAAAATCTTACCAGTGCCAAAAACTTATCGATGCTCAAAATCTTAACTCTTAGATCTTTTCTGAATTCATGTACATCCTCAATTCAATATCACTTGTTGTCTCACCTCTTTCTAAGTTTGTCTAATATAATCAATATATCTTCAAATAGTAGGCTGCATGCTCACCACAACACAGCACTGGATATGTTATTGAAGAAGGATGGATGGATGAATGGATGGGTGGATGGATGGATTGATTGATTGATTAGGCAGATACCCTCAGTGTCAGTGCAATAAATCTATTTTAAACACAAATCCTGGGATTATCAACCCAGTAAACAACACAAGCAGATGACTCATAAGCAACACAATCCTTTGGCTGTCCCTTGCATTACTGCTAAAATGTTAAATATTTATTATCTATGAATAGGGATTTGCGTAAACAGGGATTTAATGTCATAAAGTCATCCTCGATTTATATGTCCTAAGGACGCCCTAAGGATAAATTGCTGTTTGTTTGTCCGTACATGGACAAAAGTATGCATGGGAAGAGACTTTTGTTATCGCAGCAAAATGTTTTGACTAGGAAAGAAAAAAAACTATGTCAGCTGCATTTTAAAATACCATGTCTGAGGAAAAAAATGCATTTTGATCAAAATGTCCGTCAGCCCTAAACAAACATTGTTATCTTACTGGAATATTAAGAGCATAAGTGATAAAAGAATAAATCTTTTATGTGATTGCTGAAATTTGAAATCTAAAATCCTACAAAAGGTTCCATGTCAAGCAAGAAAAAATATTGTTATAGAAATAGGCCCTACAGTAAATAGTGAAAGCAAAGATTAATGAATGAGTAAATTTAAATGAGATACTTTTACTTAACTCTGGTATTTGATTAACACCTACATTGTCAGTTTATTTTGGATTAAATTATTTGATTAATTGACAGATAAATGATGACACAACATACCAATTGATTGACATGTTACGTTTCAGTGGTGTTCTAGTCAGTTCTTGTGTCATGAAAAATAAAGGGCAAACTGAGTAACATATTACAGCTCATTTGGAATCCATTTCAAATTATGATGCTCGTTGTTTTTCCTGTCCAATTAACACAGTATATCTGAACACATTGCCTTTTCTATTTTCAAGTACTTGTTAAATACTTCATCTGGCCAGCAGAGGACCAGTGATCGTTCCGCATCTGAATTTGTCAAAAATATGTGTATATATATATTCCATATGTAATCCCTGGGATGGATCCTCCCGGTCTAGCCCTGTTTAACCTGGTGTACACATCGGTAGACATATAAAAAATAAAATATAACGTTTATAATTAATCCTGCTGAGCCTATATACGTCTGGCTGCAGTGCAGCACATATAAAGAAATATTGCCCTAATACATATGTAAAAGGAATGGGCGGGATCGTCTCGTGTTTTGCCGTTCTTGTTTATCTATTTGTTTGTTTGTATATTCTTTTTTAATATATGGGGAGAGAGGGTTTATTTCCTATGACTCCTATGCCCCCCGCATCCAATTCTAGGGGCCGGGTGGGGGTGCGCGATGACGCCAGGCTCATGGGCGTGGCCTGAATGTGCCGACCCACGTGTTGCGGAGGGGATGGGATGATGCTTCAGCTGGGTGGCCGAGGCGCAGGTTCCGTCACCGCAGAGCGGTCACCGGGGAGCCGCAGCGCCGCCGGATCTCCGCCCTGTCAGCTCCACTCGCCATTCGCCGAGTCGGATCGCCGGCTTGATTCGCTCGTCCTTTTCCCTTTTTTGCTTATGAACGATGGAGAAATATTCAAGAGAAATTTCCGGTAACCATCAGCTCTTCCCCTGCGTGTACTGGGTGATGCTGCTGCTGTGTATGACAGCAGGGACGACAACAGCTTTTGTGAACTTGGGCTAAAAAAAAAAACCCGAAAAACACCGGCGATCCGCTCAGTGGATATACAGCCTTCCTCCCGCATCATTTTAATTTCACAGCCGCGAAGCAGCAGATGCACGCTGTGCCGCTGTCTCTGCGCCGATATTATGGTGAATATTCCTGCGTTCGCTCCTTACTGGCCCCTCGTCCGCTTTCTGGTGCCCCTGGCGATCACAAACATAGCCATCGACCTCGGAGAGCAGGCAAGTACGGTTTGCTGTTTCTGCGCCGAAATAACGTTTAATGGGTACGTGTGTCGGATGGATGCGGTGTGTTTGTGGAGGATCGGCTCCCAATGTCATGCTGCGCTATCATTCTGTTTTCAGGCATTATGCAGCCCATGACATTTTCAGGGAATAATCTAGCACCATTCCGCAAATTGACACGCGTCACTATGGCAGTGGTTCGTATATTTGTTTTCTTACCGTCCTGTTCCTTTTTGGGATGTGGAAGATGACTTAAAGGTTAGTGGGGGTCGCTGTATTTTATAATGCTAACGAAGATGGCTTCAGCTGCTCAAATCCCGACCCGATTTATTTTGCACCGTCCATTTCAAACACCGTGCTGCCTTAAATCGTGGTGGGTCACTGTGTCCTTAAGGCAGAGCTAAGCATTTCCGTGCGTTCATTCACATCCTCCGCATACTCCCACGTATACCTACGCAGTGCTATTTTTTAAACTTGAATAAAAGGGTAATAAAGCACTAGTAAACATTCTTTCTCTTCCACAAGCAGCCTGGTTTGCAAAAGCAAGCATGCAGACCCTACTGCACACTAGATCATACATTGCTTAAATTCAAATTATAGGCTGTACTGATAGACTTCTTTTAGGTTGCACTGGGATTTTGATTTAATGCTAACTAGCTGGGGCATAACTTGAAGTAGACTTGAAGGACCAGTCTCACTGTTCATAAAATGCTGTGATATGCACATGTTTTTAATTTTACAGAAAAGCGTAGATTATTAAGGACTGGACCTTCAGTAGACACGCAGGTGAATTACAGCCCGAAGTCATCAGCTGATCTCACCAGCTGACACGCACCAAGGGATAAGCAGAACAGCTACTAGCAGAGCAGGATCAGTATTTTTAACTCAAATCCAGAGATGATTTTATCCGGTCAAAGACCCAACAGACATTTTAAAACGGGAAAATCCACTATAATTAGCGTACGTGTCCGACCCCTTTAATACCACGTGACGCTATATTGAAATCCTGCTTTCAGTAATCATACAGCAGCAGGCTGCAGCTCGTGCTGTGACGTGGTCTGTGGGTCATTTAGATCAACATTACAGGTGCAGCTTGCTTAAAGAGATGGAGAAATTTCTGTATGTTGATACTGCGTGCTTAACTTGGTAGTAGCCCTGTCTAATCTGTGCTGCCTAAATAGTCAAGCATCCTGCTTTTTTATCCTATAGAGAAGTAGTTGGATATTCAGATAATGTGTAAAATTAAACATTTTGAAATATAACTCGACTATAGGTCTACTATTAATAATTAACAATACTGATAATGTTGCATTTATTATCAGAAATGCAGCAGCCTCCCACTGGCAATAAAATCTGTACATTGATATATTAAATATTCAGCACTGAATATACTTTTCTGGGTAAAATGCTTAGATGTCACATGTGGCTTTGAGCTTTTCCGCATTATATAGTATATCAGGATGGATGTATTTCACACAGAAAGAGCATGTGACAGGCAGGCTGTGTGTAAGTATATCATGTGTGCAGAGCCCACAGTTCCGCCTTCCATTTCACGTAGGGTGCAGTTCCTGCTTTACCTCCCGCGGTGCCTGCCAGCCAGCCTTCTCTGGCATTCCTCCGTAGGGTATGCCACACTGCTTGGCTTCCGTAGGGTGACTCCCATAATCTCAGTAATACAGCAACGACAATATAGCTCTTTTAGTTGTACAGTCTGCCTCCATCGGCGATTCCCAAATCCTCAGCAATTTAGCAACAATTTTTGTGGCTTTTTAGGTTCCTGTATCACTTCTAAAGTGATTCTCATAACCTCAGTAGTATAACAACTCTTAGGATCCTGATTCACTTCCACTGGTGATTCCTATAACTTCAGTAATATAGCAACAGCAATATATGCATGTGATTCACTCCTTTAGGTGATTCTCTTAACCTCAATTATATATTGCAAGGACAGTATGATTCTTTTGGTTTTCTAAATCACTTCCATAGGTACTTTTCATAACCTCACCAATAGAGTTGTCAAAGAAATAGTATCTGATACTCATATACTAATCGATACTAAAAATTGCTATCGGAGTAGATACTGTAGTCATTTGCAACAGTATCGATACCAACAGCTCCATGTTCGCCTCCAGTTGACACTAAATTTCTCACAGCACCACTGCAGACAGACAGACGCACAGCCCCTCTCCTCACTAACAGCTGAACACATGAACGCTTGCTGGTTAACACTGAGCTGGCTGAACGTGGCAAGCACTGCTGCCGAAGGGACTTCACAACCAGTTTTAGTCAAGAATGAAAAAAGCAAAAGTGCCTTTTGGAAGTATTTTGCATATGAGGCAAACGACCAGGGAGAGGCTAAGGATGTCGGTAAGCATATATGCAAACAGAGTTATTCGAATAGCACAGCAAACTTGGCGAAGCATCTGAAAGACCGACATCCCGGTCTTTATGCAGAAGTCAGTTAAACAGGGTAACACAATTATTTGTTACGTTAAATCCCAGATTGAAGCTGAGAAAAGTCAAACCAGCAGCTAGACAGAAACCTATGGTGTGGGAAAATGGGAACGAGTGTTGAGTATTTTCCTGGGTGTCAGTATCGGGTTTGAAATTGTGACAACCCTACTCACCAGTATACCTCTTTTAAGTTCCTGATACACTTCCGGTCACATGATTTAATCTTAATGACAGTTTTAGTGGTGGGCTGAGAGTTGCTACAGATGTCTTATGGATCCAGTAGGTGTTGTCTAGGGCTCTCACTATTGATTATATCAATAATCTAGTAATTACTGATTAATCTGACTATTCATCTTTCAGTCATTCATATCACACATACGGTCAGTTTAGGCACTCCAGTTCACTTAAGGTGCATATTTTTGGATAGTGGAAAGAAACCAGAGGATCTGCTGAAAAGCCACGCATACACAGGGTGAACACGCAGACTCCACGCACACACAGGGTGAACACGCAGACTCCACGCACACACAGGGTGAACACGCAGACTCCACGCACACACATGGTGAACACGCAGACTCCACACACACACAGGGTGAACACGCAGACTCCACGCACACAACACAGAGTGAACACGCAGACTCCACGCACAAACAGGGTGAACACGCAGACTCCACGCACACACAAGGTGAACAAGGTCTTTTTAAACATGTATTTGCTTTGCAGTCCTGCTATTGTGGTATTTATTTTCCGCTTCTCAGTACTGACTAGGGATGGGTATCGTAACAACACTTCATTTTTTAAATGTAAAATAATTATCTATAGCTTAGCAAACACCAATGTTTGAGCAAATATCTATTACACAAACAAAACCAATGATTGTAAAACAAATAAATAAACACAATTTTCTTGTAAATGAATATACAATGATTTAAAGGAACATAGTTGGAGCACGCAGGTAGGCTGCAAAGGAACTAGCAGCTTTTAACCATTCTTCTGGAGAAAAATCAACATCCAAAAAGGTGCAAAATGCAGCTAAACAATCATCTGTGGCTAATGTTTATGTTTTATCACGAACACATTCACATAAATTAGTTAACTGTGTTTGGGATTAAAAGTAATACAAGTTTGGAACCTATTGCAATGTACGCTAAATTGAATGTATCTAATTACTACAAATACATTTTTAGGTAAGCTTTGCTTTATAATTTCATAGTTTATTATTATTTATCTATTTGTAAAAGCCGGGGCCTGTTTCACAAAGCAGGATTACTTGCTTAGCCAGATAACTTGCGAGATTTAAGGTAGTCTGGGCTAAATGTAAGGTCTATTTAGCCCAGACTACCTTAAATCTGGCAAGTTATCTGGCTAAGCAAGTAATCCTGCTTCGTGAAACAGGCCCCAGTACTATAAAGGCATTTTAATGTTTAATATTTATTTAGGCTACTGCATAAAAATACTCTAAATATTTAGTCTGAATATTTAGTAACTGAATGTGTATTTATTAAATTATTAACATTATAATACTGATTTAAAAAGACCTTATGTGATGTTTATGTCGTTATTTTAACATAGCATACATACCTGAGGAGGCGGATGATCAAGTAGAAGCTAGGCAGTCGAAAACTTTGCATTTCTCTCTCTGCACATAATGCACTTTGGCTTGATTTGATAAATTGCTTGTGTTTCCGCCTTTACAAGCAAAAATCTTGTTGCACTTGTTGCAACGAGCATTGTCCGTGTTCACACGGGTGAAGTGTAACCATACTTTGGATCGTTTGGCTCTCTCCGCCCTCGTCACTCCATAAGCGCGAGCTCTCTCGTGTTGTGTGCGCGCGAGCTCTGTATACTGCGGAACAGACTACATTTCATGCGTGAGATTGCAAATAATGGCAGTGCAGGCGAATAACGAATATTATCGCAAATTACAAAAGGCTGGTCAGGTAAAATATGCTAGGTAATGTTTATTTCACAATATTAAATAGGAAATTATTTTTTTTTAATTTCTCCAGTACCGACAGCAGAACCGTTAACGTCAGAGCTTATCGATACTTCGGTCTTTCATAATTAGGCACCGGGACCGGTGGGTTTCGGTACCCATCCCTAGACTACTGACAGACCACTGCATTTTCATTCACTTTTAACGCGAAGTGCTTTTCATGCTTTCACTATTTATTTAGACCCTCATGCACTTCATGTCGTCTTCCTTTCGCTATATTGACGAATAATCGAGAAGGAAATTTTTAATTGATGCTTTTTAATAATCGAGTCATGGAGTTTTGTGTGATTATGACAGCTCTAGCCATGTCGGGATCCGTGAGCATATGGCCGAAGGGTGAGAGATGAGCTAAATCAGAAGTCAGAGATCATTTAAAGTCAGCTACTCTGTCAGCAATGGTTAAGGTCAATTTCTTGCTAGTTTTGCTAGGTGTCTTACTGATTTAGTATCCATTCAGCTGGTTAGTGCTGTTTTAGATGCACATGATCAATCTACAGCCTAATTTCACCATTATTCATTCACAGATAGTAGTTTGTCTAAGAAATTAGTTAGTTGTCCATGAAAGAAAAAAAAAATATTGTTGTTGTTGTTTTGTATATTATTGTATTTTGTAATATTGAGGTGGCTTCAATAACATTTATAAGCCTAACGATAAACAACGGTTACAGCAGCAACATATGTCTAACATCTGGAATGTTTTTCTCTCTGTATCACGGCATGCAAAGCTGGAAGGTATTGACAGGTTCATTTAAAACTCTGGAGAGTAATCAAATTAAATAACATAACCGCCGTGGTTCCTTTTGCATCATTGCTACTTAGGCGCAGTCTAATAAATGACTTATTTATGTACAATAATGCACTTACAAAAGTGTAAAAAACCAAAACAATGAAATCCAATAAACAATAAAGTGTTCTGTTTTTTAAAAATTTTCTTTCCAGACAACTGTAGGGGAACAACTGAAGTGTTTGTAGCGGCCTGAAACTATGATTTTGAAAACAGAATGCCGATTTTGTGTCAGGGATTTTCCAGAGCAAACCGTAAAGAGCACAATGGGCATCTGCCAAGGTATCTGAGCAGAACTTTGCCAAAACCATTATCTGAGGTCTCCGTGTCAGGTTTGGTTTGAGACCTCGGCAATCCACATCTTCACGTCAACCTCAATGCATGTGCAATACATATAAATGAATGTATTTACAGTATACATATTAAGCACACGGAACATTTACACATATTAATCGGTGACATTCAGAGCATTAAAAAAAAAATAAAAAATTTTAACAGCTAGGGTAAATGACTCCTGAGCACTTTGACGAGTGTGTGAAGTTGGATCCCTTTACAACTGCTGTGAGTGCTCATAATGACTCATGTGTTACATTATATATCACTGTGGCCTTTTCCTGCTAATACTCTAGATGGCTAGACATGTTGTATCCTTGTACCTTTACGATATCCCGCACATCCTTTTCAGAACACACCATTACAGTTACTGGCTTTTGCAAAGCATGGTGAAAGTGGGATTATGGTTATGTAATGGAAGTATGGCTGGCTGTAAATAGAAACGTTATTAATAGAAATGCTTTCTGTGTTAGCAGTTTGGGGAGGCTTGTTTTATTTAGTATAGTCATGAGCTACAGCTCAGTTTCCTGTTTATCCAGCAATTAAGCATCTGATGTCTCGCAGCTTATTCGTCCCATTAATGATTATAAATTGAGTATGGAGAGCAGTGAAGAGGTATGCAGAAAGTTGGACATGAGTAGATTACTGCGGTCTGGTGGTGCCTTACTGAAGGGTGCATTAGCAGGGGGGGGGGGGGGGGGGGGGGGTGGAAAAGGAAGAAGGGCAGGGAGATCACTCGGACCTAAGCTGGAACGAGGTCACTTCCAGCATTAGTCTGTCCCCACCAGGCTTATTGTTCACGAGAACTACACCTATAAGAAAACATTTTCGCAAAATCAAATGATAACAACAACACTTTGTAGATCCCGATGGGGACATCCTCTGTTTGGCTACTCCTCTTGCTCTCTATGACACATATTTAGGTAAGAGCAAGCTTGGCAGCGAAGTGCAGCCCCTTGCAATGGATACCTGGGGGCTAAAGGTGCTGCACTGTGATGCAGCTTTTGAGAGAAGTGCTTGTCTGTTCCCTCACACGTGATTCCGGAGACACACAACATGGAAAAAAGAACTATTGTGTCAAACGTGCAACCTGAGAGCGACGCACAAAGCCTGCCTTCACCCAGGAGCCCAGCACAAGGGGAAAATGTAGCTGTGAGCCATTGCAGTGTCACCAAATGATAATCCCAGTCTCACCACTGCTAGTGGGTGAAAAATAATGTTCATTTTGTTTATTTAGGAGAATACAGCAGACACTGGTCTAAACCTTAATCCATTGAAGAGAACAGAATGTGCTTCTTACCACCATTGAAATAAACTGACAAAATGTTTTAGCAATTTGTTTAACAATGAGTCATTTACAATATTTGAAAATCTCCTATTTTAAAAATAAAATAACCACACTTCACTTTTTCCGTTTAATGTCAGGAGTATAATAAGTTTCCTTTTCGAACTCCCTGCATTTAAACATCTCATTCTTTGTTTTGTGGGGTTTTGTGGCTTTTTTAAATGACTGTTGGGTTCCCGTTTGTTATAACTCTGCTTAATAAAACAAGAAGATAATGATGGATTTGACTTGTGAAGATGAAAACGTCTCTTTTTTTACTAAATATTTGCACGTACCTTTTGAGGGATTTTGCTGTTTCACCTATTGGCTTGTCGGTATCACAGATGCAGTCTTGTAAGCAGTAAATGGCCAACGGAAATATATATAAAATTATTTTTTGTTACCTTCGTAACTTTACTGACGATGCAGTAAAACAGTTGTTTTTATATAACAGTGATATTAAATTGTGAGTGTAAGATACTGAGTGACAATATACTGAATGATATAATAGTTAAAGGGATTCCAGCAAAGTATTTTTTAATGTTTATGATTATCGTGCGTTGTGATTTCATTTTGGGCTGGGTCACCTGAAAAAATGCATTTTTCAAACACGGCTAAAGTCAGCAGCGTGGACAAGATGTTCTACAAAAATGAAACTCTCAGGCTCTCGGTGTAGCCATGAAACCTGGGAAATAAACCACTCATCTGATCTCAGACCAGCTGTGTTTTGTTTGTGAAGTCTGTAGATAGCAAATAATAAAGTTCAGTACCACAACAAAATATGGCTCCATCCATCCATACATCCATCCATCCAGCTTTGCACATCACTTGTGATGTGTTAATACCCATTTCACCCTGATGGTTATGATATGTGCACATTTTTAATGGAGGATCCGCTGTTTCTGCATCACACTATGAAATATCGCGTCACACGCTTAAGACCAGGAGACGACATTTTTGGTAGTACTCCATGTTCTCTGGCTTGTGGCTTGTGAAAACGTAACGAGTGTCATCAAACAAACCAGCTGATGTTCTGCAAAATGGATGGTTGGATGGATGTTCGTAATTACATTGGGGTAAACTACTGTTGTATCACGTTGTTTGAATGAGGACATGTAAGCTATCAGTGTCACGTTGTCTACATTTGGCTAAGCGAATAAATGATCTAATTCATTCCTACGGTTCTTTATCTGCACCACTGATCAACTCGTGTTACCCTGTTTTGTCTCGGCTAAAATCTCTCGCCTCCCTCTCCCCTGCCATTGCCAGGCTCTGAACCGGGGAATCGCAACCGTCAAGGATGCGGTGGAGATGCTGGCTAGCTATGGCCTGGCCTACTCCCTGATGAAGTTCTTCACCGGGCCCATGAGCGACTTCAAGAACGTGGGACTGGTGTTCGTGAACAGCAAGAGGGACCGGACCAAGGCCGTCCTCTGCATGGTTGCCGCGGGAACCGTGGCCATCATCTTCCACACACTCATAGGTGAGATCCTGAGTCCGATTGACCCAAGTGGCATTGCTGCTCTGCAGTATGGCGAGTTGATGGCATTGCGATGTTCTTATATATGTGTGTGAGTGTGTGTGTGTGCGTGTGTTATCCAAGGAAACATACAATTCAGAAAGCGTCAGCCAGTCCCTGGAGCAATTGCGGGTTAAGAACCTTGCTCAAGGACGCAATCACTCTGCTGTCCCTGGGGTTTGAACCGGCAACCTAATCGTTCATGAGTCCGAACCCTGAAAGCCACACACTGCTCCGTGTTATCAGAGGATTGTCCCTGTTTAAATACAAAAAAAAAAAAAAACAAGCAAGAGCAAACTTCTTTCTCAGTGATGTAGATATTAATGCTATGGCAAACAAATGTCCCCTGAAGTATCTTTATTTGTTTTGTGCAGTATGCACTTCATGAGTACTGACTCGTGTTTTTCTGTGGGCTGATATTTGTGTCTGATGATATCTAATCAATGTAATGTTATAGTGTTGCAAGCGTGCTGAGCACGGCAAGATTCAGAAAACACTGTAACCAATGATCAGCTTACATCGCGGATTTTAGACTCCTTTAGTTTAACTTTAAAATAACCACATTGAAATGCATAAAAATACTTTCAGCTACTCCACCAGTCAAAGGATTTTGCACACCAGAGGTTTTTTTTTTTTTTACCACTTTTATGTTTATTTCATAAACTGCCGATATTTAAAAAATCTTGTTAAGCACTGGAAAGTTGACTGAACAACTATAAATGAAAACATAAGTCAAATAATACAAGTTTCCTTTATAATATGGAAAGAGTATGTAACAGTGCACGTCTGACATCCTATTAACTGGTTTTGTGGTGATATCATTGTCAAATTCTGGACTGTCCTAACTTTAAATGCACTAGTTAACTGTATAAAACACTTGGTTTTCACACTGGATTGAATTAAGAGTTGAGTAGTTCTTTTTTAAAAAAAAACACGATAGTTCAGCATTTTCATTTAGATGTCAGAAATTGGCCCCGGACCTTGGCACCTGCGCTCCAGTGCTGAGGAGCCAGTACGTTTGGTGGTCTTTGCTATTCCGCGTGGATTGGGCGATTTCTCATTTGGATTCCCTTTACTTTAAGAAGGAAATAAAAAATACCCTTTGTTTCTAATGCATTGCGTTTGGCAGTGGGAGTGTGTCACATGTCACTGTTCTACTGTCGCAGTTCTGCTATCAGTAGCACTACGTCTTGATTTATCGTAACCAGAAAGAGCTTCGTTTGCTTCATCGCATTAACAGATTGGAAGGAGTACATAAGCGATGATATTCTTACATTTTCAAGTGCAGTTCTTCATTTTCATTAGCGGGTTAGCTAAGAGAGTGTAGCCACCAGTATTTTGTCAAACTCCTCATTTCGCAGCTAATGTATGCTTGCATATCTTACATATGATCAACAACATTTTGACCGGGTCTCTGACTAGTGTATTCTGGGAAGTATATTTTCTTGTGTATAATAAATTCAGCAAAAAATGTATTACAGTTATGCTGACACTGATTTTCACATGTGCTGTCTCTATCGCGTTGCACCTCTTTCTGAGCAGTAAGCATAGATACAAGGCTCGTCTTTGTCACGTGACCACGAATGGCTGCTGCAGGGTGAATGCTAACTAGTACATTTCTATCTGAAATATGTTTCCAAGACCTGCAGCATGGAGGTCCCCTTAGCCCCTAGTCTAAAGGCAGAGGATGTAAAAGCACTTAGATTAACCCAAAGAGCTTCAGAGCTGACCATAATATACATTATATATATATATAACTTATTTGCTTTTGCTTTGGATGTGCAAGCATTTCATTTTGTGTGATTGAGAACGATTGAGAGTAAATTCTTTGCAATAGTTTTTTGCTGTATAAAAATCGACTGTCAGATACCATTAAGTCAGTAATAGTGTTACAGGATCCAAATATCATTATCAGCGCCTGTAAATCATTTTTATACCTTCATATTGCTACTTTTATTGCTCGTACACTGATAATATTGGCTAAACAATTAAAGTCCACGGCGTTTAATGCTGAGTTTGCACGAAAGTGCTCTTAACCTTAATGGTGTCCACAGCGTACACCGATTTGGGATACTACATCATCAACAAGCTTCACCATGTGGACGATTCTGTGGGCCAAAAGACCCGGAAGGCCTTCCTCTACCTGGCTGCCTTCCCCCTGCTGGACGCGATGGTAAGGGTGCTCATACTGGGGCAGCGAGAACGCAGAACCAATACAGAGAGGGATGGAGGGCAGGCGAGCTGTCATGTGACAGAAGCTGTCATATACTTCACCTGCAAAGTGATTCCGAATATCAACACATGCTGTTCTTAGCATTGAGGTTTATCAGTAGCTCATACCAATGCAGAAGCAGCCTGCTTGTTAGTCATAATATAGTAGCTGGCATGCTGACCATTGCCAGAACTCCTGCAGGGCAGTAGATATAGCTTCAGCAAGAGATTTCTCTCAAAAACATTCACTCGTCACCAGCTTTATAACTCAGTGGGAAGGTGCTTACACTTTATGTTAAATTTAATATGCCTTTTGTATATTAAACACCACCTAATAATCCCATGGCTGCATAAAACTTGTGTCACATTTTGGGAAATATAGTATTTATTTCCTGTCAGTTCAATCGATTTGTACATTACTAACAAGCAAACAAAAAAAGTTACATTTCCATATATTTTATCTTAAAAAGATTACTGATTTATTTGTTTTTAAAAGTCAAAATGAAAAAAGAAAAAAAAAATCACTTACCTGCATGACATAGGGGGGTCTGTCTGTCTGTATCTGTGTCTGTATCTGTGTCTGTATCTGTGTCTGTATCTGTGTCTGTATCTGTAACTGTATCAGTAGGATTAGACGCAGGGACCTGCACCTTCAGGGAGAGCTTTATAGCTATTTTGATGCACAGGCTGCGGTACACTGGGCTTTGTGCTTTTGCCAAAGCCAACCTGAGCAGAGTTTCTATCCCAGGCCTGGACTCACGCCGGCATCCTGCTGAAACATAAGTACAGCTTCTTGGTGGGCTGTGCTTCCATCTCCGACGTCGTCGCCCAGGTAAGGATGGCTGCTTGCTGCCTGCTGCAAGTAGGTCATTTTTTTTCATTTGTTACAAAATATTCCCGTCAGAAGTGCATACTGAATTATACATAGTTTTAAATTATTTTACTATTTCCATCCAGGCTTTCAAAATAATCCAGTTTCAATCCAGATCATTGCTGCGGTATACAGTAAATTTACTTCACAAGAAGTGTAGCTGTTTGAGAATTTTAAATATTGCTCCTGAAGATATAATATAAAATGCTTTATATCAAAGACTAACTGGGGTCTAGCCCAGTGGTCAACAACTGACAGACTCGGCATCCAAAGCAAAATACAATTGAACTGAGACTGCGTGATTGAGTCGCGCTCGGTCTGCAAATCTTACCTTCGGGAACCTCCCTGGGCGGCTAACGTAATCGCACATCTGACCGGCAGATTTTTTCGAACACAATTGACCTTGGCTTTGATGCTGATGGAACCTGGCCCTCAGAGAACAATAGCTGGGGAGCCCTGGTCTGGCCTGTAAACTTTGCTCTGACAGCCGCTGCATTTCAGAAGACAGTAACAGCTGCCGTGTCGCCCGGCAGATCGTGTTTGTGGCCATCCTGCTCCACAGCCACCTGGAGTGCCTGGAGCCCCTCCTCATCCCCATCCTGTCCCTCTACATGGGCGCCCTGGTGCGCTTCACCATCGTGGGCCTGGGTTACTATAGCAACATCCACGACAACATTCCGGACTCCAGCGGACCTGAGGTGGGGGTAGGTCACCGGCAACGTCACAAGCGAACAGTGCGATGGTAACAGTAAGGTATTTTAAAGTTTAGCTAGGTTTTAAATGAAGCAAATACAGACATTTGGACTTTGAAATTGTGGGTTTGGTTCTTTAGTTGCCAAGGCACCAACTGTGCAGGATAATCCCAGTGTGGCACCCTGAGAATGCTGGTAGAGTATGGGGATAAAACAATACCCTGTTATGATGGTAGGGTACAAATCCTAAGAGATGTATCTTTTCTCATATCCCATCTTGCTGTCCTTTGAGGTATGCACACGCACATACTGAGGTGGGACTAAAGTTTGGTGTCTGAGAGCAGGGTCAGTCATTTATCCGCCCCCCCCCCCGGAGCATTTTTCAGGGGATTAAGGGTCTCACTCAAGGGCCCAAACAAAGATGTGACTCTTCTGTCAGAGATGGTTGGGATGATGCCTGGCAAAGGGCCCTAACTTGCTGAGCCACATATAATATACACAATGTCCCTTCTATATGCAATAATGAAGAAGGTTTGGTGATACCCAGCATAAGAAGTCTGACTGAAGGAGGCCTGATTTTGAAAACAGATGTAGGACAGTAAGTGTGTTGGGTCTACACCATGTGCACGTTCAGGGAGAGCTTTATAGCTCTCACAGAACTGTTCTCCTTCTTCTTCATGATCACACCCCTCTGTTTCCAGGGAGACGCCACCATCCGGAAGATGCTGAGCTTCTGGTGGCCCCTGGCCCTGATTCTGGCCACCCAGCGCATCAGCAGACCGATCGTGAACCTGTTCGTCTCCCGCGACCTCAAAGGGAGTGCGGCGGCCACAGAGGCAAGTGGCCGCCACTAGGGGGCGTGTGCCCCGGGGTTTCCGCAAGCGGCCGTCACCGTAGTGTGCGCTTGACCTCTCGATTGGTTACGTGCTGGACTTATGTTTCCTAATGGTGACAGTTTACTGTTTTTCGGATTATAGCCTTTTCAGAATCACTGAAGCTGGCATCAGACTTAGCAAATGTTTGTATAGCACCAGGGTTGGTGCTGTATACACACTGAATGTGATAAACTTCATACACACTTAGCATCTGTGCGTCAGTTGCATTGGGGTTACATTCGTTCATCAGCACCAATATCAAAGTACAGTATTCTGTTGCATCAACACAGAATCCTGCATTTGATTGTGAACTGAAGTGAACTACTTATGGATAATTGTGTTGGGACCTCTTAACGTAAAACCACAGGGAGTGTACTGCTGCTGCTGCAATTTCAGTGGACCTTCTTTGATACTGTGAATGTGTCTTCTGCTCTCTCGAATGATATTTAACACATCTGACCCTAAGCTCGTTTGGCTTCAAATGACCATGCTGCTTGCTTCGTTGGTGACCCTGACCTTTTCAATACAAGCCCCTGTCTGAATTAGCAGTCCAGAAGATCTCACTCTAGAGTCAGTAGCTTTGGTGTTGTTGTGGCTCGATATACGAATATTTACATTGACTTGGCTATTGAGGGTACCAGCATGGCTCATGTATATTTTACAGAGGTAGAAAGTTCTGGTTCAGAAAGTACAAATCCAGACCATGATTTTGATTCAACCAACTGAATACTCTGGGAATGTGGCTCTTTATGCTGGTTGGTTGGTTGAAACAGAATCTTGGTCTGAATTTGTTCTTTCTGAATCTGAACTTTCCACATCTGATATGGTTGGAATAAAATAGTGATAAAAAAAAATATCTTAATTACTTGCGAAACACGATTGGCACATTTTGTTAAGCACATAGAGTATGTGAAAGAGGTTTTGTTTCTCCACATGAATTAATTCGTGGCTGATTATATTTGGCGAGTGCGGTAGTTGATGTGGGTTCCATTATTATGCGCACGATGATGATGTCATATTTACGCCCACCTGCACATATGAAAGAGTAGAACCTATTAAAGTCTAGACCAGTTTCAGAGGGATTGAACACCAGGGGAGCTCAGTATCCATCACGGTCTGCTTAAGAGCTTTTGTCTGAAACCGCTGGATGCTTGTTGGTTAATAATAGGCCGGTACGAGCCTCGTCGTTCAGATCAAACAGACGTCCACTCTCCTCGAAGCGAGCGGATGAATCATGTCGGAGAAGGAATAAATTAAACTGGAAAACTACTAGAAAATGGGGCAGTACATACGCACTTGTCATATTCGGGGTCCAGGAAACTACGGGCACATAATCCAGGATTGGGCATCAACCCATCACATTTGGCAACTCCAGTGAACCTCAGCATGTGTCTGGGTGGGCAGCATGATGGTGCAGTGGTTAGCTGTCTGGGTGGGCAGCATGGTGCTGCAGTGGTTAGCTGTCTGGGTGGGCAGCATGGTGCTGCAGTGGTTAGCTGTCTGGGTGGGCAGCATGGTG